GTTTATTCTCATCCATAACTTCTTAAATGATTTTTTCTTGAATTTAAAGAAATATTTTTATTTCACCTATATATTTTTTATGAATTTATAATATAATCATTTGACTAAATATTTTTATATACAAAAGGTAAATCTTACGCTTCTGCTTTCGCTTTCGAATATCAATAAAATAAGTATCAGCTCTGACGCATTTGTTTTATTAGAGTTTAAACTTAGGAATCGTCCTTAAATTACGCAACGCGAAATTTCATTAGTAAGCAAAAACAAAAAAGATCAAACGTTTTCCCTCCCACAGCTTTAAGCTATATAAAAAATCAAAATAGCCCATTAAGCTTAACGAAAATCACCGCGTGAAAGAGCACAAGATCTCATACTTCTGTTTTTTAAATATATTTTGCGTTGCGGAATTTATAGACAATCCGATATTTTAATACTTGAAATAAAATCCCCTAACATTTTTATTAAAATAATTGAATCGATGAATGTTAAAAGGGCGGAAGTCTAACAATGTAAACTCTTGGGAAACTAAAAAAAAACTGCATTTTCCCCTGTAATAAGCTTTTATTCATGGTTCAATAATTTATTTTTTGAATATGAAAAACATTATCCTCTTCAAAAAAAAAAAAATTATTAAACCATTAACAAAAATTTACTACGGTAGAAAATGCAGTTTTTTTTTTTAGTTTCCTAAAAGTTTACATAGTCGGACTTCCGTCCTTTTAACATTCACCGGTTATTGTCTTTTTGATCCCTTAACTTTTTAATTAATAAAAAAATATTTTTAAGAATGTAAGGTATTTTGTATGTTTGGTACAAACGGAGGTCTGGGTAATGAATGTCATAAGTTTGTTAGAAGACTAGCCAATAACCTATTTGAAAAACAAAACGAAAAATACTCAATCGTTATGACGTGTTAAGAACGAAGACTTTCGAGATACTTCCTTTGTTTAAGAGGTTCAAGAACACAGTGGACTGAAAAAAATGATTTTAAAATCGGTGTTGATTTTAAGATGGATGCTCTAAAAGCAAGAATTTGAGTTTTTTTGTTTTTGTTTCAAAAACAAAAAAACAAAGTCTTGGCTAGAAAACAAAGTCTTGACCTTAAAAACAAAAACAAATCCGTACAAAAATCTCTTAACCAACTAAAAAAATATCAAACGGTATCATTTCTCACCACTCTTCAACAGCAAATCTAATGAAAGTAAAAATGATCGGAATCTTAATAAAGTAGCACTTGAGCAGAAACGAAGACAGCAAAAAGAATCAAGTGTTATAGTGGTGGAACTTGAGGTCTCAGACGAATATGACGAAAATAAACAGGCAGTCGATAATTTTTTTAGAGCAGTTGGTATCGACACCTCAGTTATTGTGAGAGTCAGAGGTTTTAATCATAAAATACCCAACACAGAACTCAGAAAAACGAAGCTCGTGCAGGTTAAAGTTAAAGACTCTGAATCGCATGCCCTGGTCTTATCGAAAGCCAGGCATCACGGTCTAATTACACCTGAGTACAAAGATGTGTTTGCTAGAAAACACCGAACGGAGGCAGAACAACGAATTCAACAAACTAAATTACAAAAAAAAAAAAAAAAAAAGAGCGAAATGATGAACTCTTAAAATTAAAGCTGCTCACCATTTCATTTTGTCATCCATCGACGCCTTAACTGCGTTAAGCCAATTAACGCACAAGAGTCAGCTGCATACCAAAGACCAGTCTTTGTCAACATCAAGAACGTTTTACACGCTATCGCTTATGTCTCAAAATCCAAAATCACAACAAATATCAAAGATCACAACAAAATTAAAAATCACAAAAAATGTGCACCCCCACCCTAGCTTGAACAAACCCAACTGGTACAACCATCAAGCCTCAATGTTAAAAGAAAATGCCCAACTTGAATATCGCCATCAATTAGATGTTTTATTGTCATATCTCATCAGCCCGAATTATCGAAAACTTGTTTTCGATATTATTGAAATTATATTACCAAATATTACCGAATTATTGAAAACTTTTTATTGTTTTCAGTAACATCAATTTCTGGGTAAATAATTCATGCTTACTAAATTAAACAGATTAACAACTCACCTAACTATTGTATGTTTTAGTGCTGCAGCAATAATAAACGATGAACCACAAATAACTCACTGATTAGTTGTGGAGCAAAGAAAAACACACTATTATCCCGAACTATATTAGAAGTTATGACTGGGAGACATTATTTAAAAAAATATCTGAGGCAGAAAAATACAAACTTTTAATTAACAAATAAAATGAAACTATTTCACTTTACGTACCAAGTGCTACAAAACCATATCAGTCAAATAAAAACCCATGGATTACTCGTGAGGTCTTGGAAGCTGTAAAAAAAAAAAAGAGTAAACTCTGGGATAAATATGTGTCAGCAGGATCAGGATCACACCAATTTATTAAAGCAGAATATAACAAAGCAGCAAAAACCGTTACAAAAGTGGTAAAAAAAGAAAAACTAGACAACGAAGATGCACTAACTTCTTTGTTTAAACATAACTTAAAGGGACTCAATCTTATGTCGAAAGCAAAATTAAAGTTCATGATAAAATCCATTTACTTGAAGACTACATAAATGGATAAAAAATTGATTGACAAATAGAGAACAACGTGTCAAAATAGATAATAAATTATTGCCGTGGAGAAAATAGTTTAGCGGAGTACCTTTTTGTGCTCTACATTAACGATTTACCGGATTTAATTTTGAGTTTTATTAAAATGTATGTAGACGACAGCAAGGTCATAGGAATTATTAAGTCTAAAAAAGATGTACTATATCTTCAAAAATATCTTAAAACAGATGCTAAATGGTCGAAAAAAATGGCTCATGCCATTTAACATTATAAAGTGCAAAGTTATGCACAAGGGCAAAAAAAAAAAAAGTCAAACCATATATATATACAATGGAATCACAAAATAGTCATTGCAAAAAACTTGAAACCACAGCAAAAAAATGCGATTTGGGTTATATGGTAAAAAATGCGATTTGGTTATAGTATCTAATAATCCTAAAATGAAGTTACAGGCTGAGTACGTAGCTGCAGCTGGAAATAGAGTACCAATGAAATTTAAAAAAAGATTCAGAAGTTGTGGTTTAAATATTTGTGGCGTTTCCTATATACTATTTATATCCGACCATTATTAGAATTTGCCGTTTTAGTGTGGTCTTCTCATTTCATACGAGATAAAAATACAAAATATTCAACATTGAACCACAAAATTGATTAAGTCAATAAATCACCTAAAATACAAGGAACGTTTAACACGGCTTAATTTAATTACCTTGAAAACCGTTGAATGCGTATGGACCTTATACAGCATTACAAAATAATTAATGGAATTGATTTAATCAATTTTGTGGCGCCACAAACCACACCAGCGTATCGAAGATCTAAGTATATTTTAAGAAAAAGGAGCCATGCCTTTGAACTAGCCGTCGAAAAAAATTTGGAACATTATGAAAGACGCAACTTTTTCACTAATCGAGTAGAAAAAACTGAAAAAGCCATCAGCTCCTCTTAACTGCTCGAAATTAAACAATACTTGCTTAAAATGTTCTAAAAAGACTAACAACAAAACTGAAACACTTTACTAAAAAAGAAACATTGTACTAAAAAAAACTATTTTACCAGTCATTTTAGTTATAACTTCTTCTAAAAAATAAAAACAGGTTATAAAAATTAGAAAAATAAAAACAACCAAGAACAAACAAAAGATTATTTAAATTTTTATTTTAGTTTTTAAACAATGAACAACATCACTTCTTCATGAAACTAAAAATAGATCAGCTCTAATTTGCTTGAAGACCTTGCTCGAAAGACCGCGTGGAATATATGACCGCGTATAGAAAAGTCTAGAAACTAAAGTGAAACGACACTAATAGTAATAATAATAATATTCATTGCACTAATTATATTTAGATAATGACATTACAATTACTAACTACATTACAACTATTTAGTACAATTAAATAATCTATATTCAATATCATTATTGTTATTACTAGTATACTCTAATCCTCCACACTGCGAGCGTATCGCATTATTGAAGCTTAAAACATTTATCTAATTGGAGTATAGTATTAAGGTGTCTGAGTATGTTTTTTTTTTAATGAAATATATATATATATATATATATATATATATATATATATATATATATATATAATATATATATATATATATATATATATATATATATATATATATATATATATTTAAACAATTTAAAATGTATTCTACAAAAAGAGTGCTCAATGTATCTAAAAGAACAGAGCAATTACAAATTAGTAGAAAATCACTTAGCAAAATTTTTTCTCATTTAACAGTGTTTCATCAATAAAGACTCATCAGAAATGCAGTAAATACTACTTAGTGTAACTTTATCGACATAATGACTAATTATTGAAAGCATACCTTTGCTCGAGAGAGTTTCTTGCTTAGTTCATCAATTTGAAAGTTCCATAAAAGATTACAATCAATTAATACACCATGGTGTAAATACCTTGCAAGGTATTTTATAACTCTTGAAGGATATAGCCGTTTATTACTAATTTTGATTTTGATTTCAACATTTTTAAAGAAATTGTTTTTTCTTGGAGATGAAAAAAAAAATTAGTTCAGTTTTTTCGGTGTTGAGACATATTAGGTTAGCATTTAACCTGTGAGCTATACCTTTTAGATCCGAATTAACATTTTTACATAAAGAATGATACGTTTTGTTGGTGTGCAAGAGATTTGTATAATCAGCAAACAGATGGGCTGAAGAGAAGTGAATAGAGTTGATTAGGTCGTTAACGTAGATTAAAAACAAAAGAGGACCTAGAACAGAACCTAAATAAAAACCCACAAAAAAATTTTTTAGCAGTTCTTACGTTGGTGCTTAAAACTAAAATTACTTTGCAAGAAGCTTATTAAGATTAGTTCGTAACTTATAGCTTACTAGCATTAACTCAAAAATAATTTTCATTCTATTATAAACATAGTTACAAACAAATATTGTTTTAGTAAACTCATCTATCAAAAGTTTATCTTATATTTCTTTAGTATTTAGTTAATTTTTATGTAATGAGCTGATAATTTACATTAAAACTCAACTTCGGCAATAAAAAATCGAGTGGTGCTTAGTTTTCTGTTTTTTTATTACGAAGTC